TATAAGATGTTTACGGACAGTCCCGATTCAACATTGATTTAATCAATTCAAATATCTGGTACTTGCTTTCGCCCGTGACTTCGTCTGCGTGATATTAAAAAATAATAAAATAATCTATGTTACTCACTGATAACGTAGCTTTTTAATGGTGGAAAAATTATCTACTAGTCATAGTTTTTGTTATTCTGACTGACTAAATTACTAGCCTGGTAAAAAATATGTACAAGATTGAAATCCTGATTTCGTTCGGATTACTATTCGATAGTAAAATACAATTTTCTTTATTATTTCTTGCAACAAAACAGTAATATCAATCAAGCAACTACTTCGTGTGTGATTTTTTAAATTCATGTTTGTTCACTGAGATATCTCTAATATTTTAAACTCACCTATAATACCAAAGTTCAATTAAAATGACTTTCTAAATATTTTTTTTTATAACATAAGGTGGCAAACGAGCAAACGGCCACCTCAATCCGCCAAAATAGCGAAGCGACAGCTGCCCATAGACATCCACAATTACAGATGCATATCCTCCACCGTCAAATCCACTTCCTCTTCCCATCCTCTTCTTGTGAGAAAAGGGTGGTAAAGAGAAAGGGACTAAAATTATTTAGTTGTATGGGTAAATTTTTAATTAATACAAAGTAGGAAATATCCACAATTGTCGAGTACATTGGTCACTGTCTACGTACGGCTTCAGCCGACGACCTCTAGCGGCGGCGTGCTCACCTATTTCCCGCCTTTGTGTTTATTGTTTCTACTTATCTTTTTGTTTGTTTTTCGTCTATTAATTAGTACTGTATCAACTTACTTAAAGTCTTTAAATAGTTAGTGCGGATATATAGATAATTCTTTCCTAAGGGTCACCCTTTGCAACCCCTAAAAAACTTTTAGTGTTTAAAAAATTGCTCATTCGATTGTCATTGTTACTGATTTCCGTATCCTTGTTGCGTAATTATATGCTTTTATATTCAATCTATTTAAGAATAGAGGAAATTAAATTGTCCAGTTCATAAAATCTTTTTAATATAAAGAAAAATGCCAAACGGTGACATTTCATTTCCACAAACATTAAAGTGACATCGCAAAACGTTCGCCATTATTAAAAAAGTATAAAAAAAGACACCAGAAAACTCGGTTAGAGTTCTCTCGAAATTAGCTGTTTAGACGCGACGGTAAATTGTGCTCTATAC